ATACTAAAAATGCTATGGTAAAACCTTTTGATTGGTTAACTGTAAGTTACCTTATACACAGTAATAACTGTAAATGGCTTAACATTGAATTATATGTCATTTCACTTAAAAATATTGTATAATTTATGGTTTTTGAAAGGAAAAACTATGAATTACCATATAATTTACAGTGAAAAACAATAAAAGGGCATTCCCAGAAGTACCTGTATACAACATTTGATTATATTTTAAATAGTTTGTTTCCTCTTATTATTGTTATCAGTAATGTTCATTATGGTGTTTTGTTTTCAATTTTATTTAGTTTAGGCCTATGTTTATTGCATTATTTTAGTGTCATGCAAGTTACCCTGATGGTGTTTTGTCTGGGTGTGTATAATCATGTGCACGTCTATATTTTTACTGCATGTATTATTATGGTGGTTATCAGTACATTTTAAGGTAAAAAAAAAAAACAGAGGTAGGTATAGTTCAAGCAGATGTATACCAATCAAGCAGACCAATATGCCATCACATTAATACCTGAAACATATACATTTTACAAAGAAATATTGGGAAAAAACAGTCTATTAATTTAATTTAATTGGGCAAAATGAGTATCTAAGAGGACAGTGTAATGATTTTCTTACTTCCAAGAACTTTTCTCATCAGGAGTGTTCCTATGACACCTTAAAATGCTGTCTAGGGAGGCATCGCACTAGGTTTTGGAACAGAGGTTATTTCCTGGACTCATCTGTTTACAAGGAGGAGTGAATGTAGAGCACAGAGAACATAGAGCACAGACCCAATATTATGACACAGCAGTGCCAGTGGCTGAGCAGGATTTCTGATCAGGAAATCACATGATGCAAATAGACACACAGGTGCCAACACCCCTTAAGCCAGCAAACACATATCCACAACACAGGCAGCTCCACAACCACCATAGACAGTGAGGGTGGGGGACGTCACACTCAATATTCAGATACAGCTTTCAAATTTTCAGTGGTTCATTCTTAAATTATTATATTTGGTCCCCAACAATCCTGAATATGTGTTATTTATCCCATCATGCTACAATCACCACTCAAGAATGCCTCATCATTAACCCCACACGGCTTGAGCTCTTCACCGCTGCCATGGCAGCACGTAAACAAGCATGGGATTGGCGTATTGTGGTCATCCTGATGTTGTCTGAAAAAGCACGTCTGCATTGGGACGGGATGCTTATTGAAACACATAAACCCGCATTTGGAGTGTTTAGATGTACATTCACACCCTACAAAACATCCTCATTAAAGATCCAGTAAGCTGAGTCAAGCCACTTGAATATGCAAAACAGGCTACAACAGAACAAAACCCAGAATTCCAAACACAATCCACAGACGAGGCGCACCGCTCAGGAATGCTTCAGACCCCCCCATCCCCCACATGAACTTCAACCACAGCGAAGGCTATCTTAACCCAGATCACTGAATGTGTGCCATTCAATGACTGCAAGACGCTGTACAAAAGATTTCAGTTAGTTTGACAGTCTTAGTACCGCACACCTTGATGTGATTTCATAAATCCCGACTCGCACATAGATGTTTTTTATGTGTGTGCACATGCTGGCTTCCATCAAAGTGCATCAAACACTCTGGATCTCATGTGATCCTTGATGGAAATCTTCAAAAGAAAATACTTTAGTCTCTAGCTCTGTTCTGAAACCTGGCGGGATGCCTACTTAGACAGCATTTTAAGGCATCACAATGCTACCAATAAAAAGGCTGTTCCAAAAGGTAGACTGCTTTCTAAAACACACTGTTTAGCCTATGCCAAATTCAAAGGCAACATTGCAATTATCCTTCACAGTGAAGGCAATCATGAACAACGCATTGTGAAAAAAATTATTCCATGACAACGGAAAAGTACCAATACAATCTACTTATGATACGCCATTTATTTACCTAATATTTGTTACCTAAATGTTTATGCAATTTTTATGCATATTATTGAGAGTACTGTACTGTTATCTTAGCAACATGTTAATATCAAACTCTAAAAGGAATCAGATGTGAGTCACATTTCTTATGTGCTTCACATGAGCAGCATTATTTTGTGAGGTTTGCGTGCCTCCACATATCTCCTCAGAATTAAAACACCTGTCATTTATAAGATATAAGACATTCCCTACTTCTTATGTGTTTGTTTAGTTAATATTTTGCCAATTTGATTAGGCCTTCCAGCCACCAATAAGAATGTAGTATTCTTATGGCAGTTCACACCAAGAATGACATTTGATAACTATGAAGTTTAATAATAATTTCTATGAGAATAGGGATGTTCACACCACAGAGGAACAATATTGTAGTCACTTTCACAATGCCTGTCCAGATGATGAATGATAAAAACATTGAGAGCCAATAAGAATCATTATTTTGTTTACCGTATTTAGTTTATAGCATTCAACAAAATTTCCCTTAAAGGGATAGTTCACCCAAAAATTAAAATTCTGTCATCATTTACTCACCCAACCCAAGTTGTTACAACCCTTTATGAATTTCTTCCTTCTACTGAACACAAAAGAAGATATTTTGAACAATGGGGGTAATGAACAGTTGACCATAGTTTTTTTTGTCCTTACCATGGAAGTCAATGGGGTCCAACAACTTCTCGGTTACAAACATTCTTCAAAACATCTTCTTTTGTGTGATCCCAGAATTTTCATTTTTGGGCGAACTATCCCTTTACAATCACCACAAAATGCCTGATTTCATCTGGACCTACTTACAGCCTTCTTTTCAGTTGAGATATTGCCTCAAAATGTCATTGTCTTAGACAGCAAGAAAGCTCACTAGGTTTTCAAACTGAAGTTTAATCAGCCTAATCAAGTACGCAAATGAATACATGTAGCATTTAGGGCATTAGGCTACTCAAATCAGTTTACAGTTTAATTTAAGGCCCCGTCCACACGGAGACGCGATTAGCATTATACGCATACATTTTGTATTGTATAGGCGTTTCGTCCACACGGATCCGGCGTTTTGGGAGAGTGAAACCGATATTTTTTTAAACCGGGTCCCAGAGTGAATAAATCTGAAAACGCTGCCCTTTGCGTTTTCGTGTGGACAGCGAATCCGTATTTTTTCTATTTCAGCCCACGTCTCGCCCCTAGTCAGACACCGCTACGTCACGTAAAAGCAACAAAAACATGAGCAAACACTGAACGATTGCCTTTTTATTAACTAACATTAACACAGATTAATAAATGTATTGTTCCATGTTCGTTTGTATACCACGCGCAAGGTTTATGCGCATAGTCCAAGTCTTCTTCTCCGTTTTTAGTGTACTTCTGTGGCAGAATTACAGCGCCACATGCTGGTCTGGCATGTATACTACATCGTTTTTTGCCAGTTTCGTGTGGATGCAGATATTTCTTGAGACGAGGAAAAAGAAAAAAGATCAGATAGGGAAAGCTCTGGCTTCGTGTGGACATAGCCTAAGTTTATTGCCACATCAGCTTCACAGACTATTTCATGGCAAAGTTTATACATTAGAAAAACAATATAGTACACCACAATAAAATATACAATAAAAATAAATTAATTAATAAAAACAATTCTAAAACAAAGTATTGCACATAAAATTCTATAAAAGATTCTTTAAATTTACTTTTGAAAGAAACTGTAAAAGATTTCCTGGGTCCATATTATAAAACAATTCCTCAAGACAAGAGTTTGTCCTGATAATAACCTTTGTCTCATGACATTAAATATTGGGCAGACCAAAAGCACGTTTCACTGTCAAGTGAGTCCTGCAATATTGACATTTTGGTGCTTCTTCACCAATCAATATATGTCCATGAGTTAATCTAGTATGTCCAATATGACACCAACTTGGTACATGCCTGGATTTAAAATAATACATAAATCTTGTTCCTACAACAGAATTCATTTTAAAAAGTTTGTTATTTTGGCATTCTTCCCATTCTGCTTGCCATTTATCCAATATGTATCTGTTGTACTCAAATCAGATCTAGCATGTGGAATAATGTCTGCATAGCCCTTACCTCCACACGCATGCATTCAAAGACCTTAAAACATTTGTGTATAAGATATAGGGTTCCTCCCCATGTGGAGTCCTTATGTGCTTCTGTGTCACATATTCTACCATAGCAACAGGTCACAGCATGGAGCTAGCGTCGCCGTGTAATTGAAATGCAGGCCACACAGTGTTACACAGTGACCCCTCTAATCTCCGCCTGACAAAGTGGCTTACCATCTACAGGTCATATGGCACACAGACACAGCTTAGAGTGGGGCACCCCACATCCTGAGGCCATGATACACCAATGGCACACAACAACTGTGAACTGTGTCACCAGTTCAGACTTTTTACTTTATATTGTTGCTTTCAAGTGAGCTCATTCAAGGGTTCAACGTCTCAAAGTCTGAAGACTTTTAACCCAAATTAAGAAACACTTGACCATATTAGATAAAGAAAAATGCATCAAGGGAGATTATGAAATAAAATAGGTGAAATGTCTTAAATATCATAATCGCATAGCTGTAATTAAACTGTAAGATACAATATCAATAAAATAAGCAATCATCTGTTTCACTGCAAACTGGAACATTAAAAAGCTGTTAGTTAGGATTACATGAAAAAAACTTAGCTGAAATTAGACTTTACCCAGCTAACTAGCAACCAGGTTACTGAACACAACTCACTTCCCCTAGGACTACATAACATTACCTGTCACATTATAATCTGATATGACAGATATATAAACAAAAGCACCGCTTCTGGTCTGGCAGCTTCCAGAAGTACAGCTATCACCTCCACATGTTATCAGTCGAAACACATTTGTGCATATTATTCAACTACATATAAATTCTCACCATACAGATGGACAAATGAACTACAACTGTGAGTGTTGTGACCATAAGGGATCTAAAGGAAACTGTGTCAGAGCATGGTTGTGTGCGTACCATATGGAGTTGAATTTGACCAATGACCCACTTCAAAAACACAATCCTCACCTTTGCGCTGCAAGAAGAGACGCAGCAGGGGCGCTGCCATGGAAATTGCTTTATGGTAGTTGTCATCGTTGTTGATTGGCAGTAGGTCCCCGTGTACATCGGCGTAACCCACAAGCAGATCGACGTTTGGGATCCGGTGCACATGCTGCAGCAAGCCATAGAACTCATCAAAGCGTCCCGGCTTGGACTGGTCCAAAGAGAACCGCCTGAATTCTGCTCCAAACTAACAACATGGAACAGTCATCAGCACACAGCAAAACAAGACGAACACACCTAAAACTATAACAAATCAGTTTCGTTAATTGAAATAAAGCTGAAATAAAATACAAATAGCCTATTAGATGAAAATCTTCAACTTAAAAACTTTGCAGGACAAAAGTACACAACAAAATTACTAAAACTTACTTACTATAATAGTATAAATAATAAAAAAAAATAATAATGAAACTGGCAAATTTACATTTCCTAACATAAATCGCATGGACTTCTTTCCTGTCATTGTGCATGGAAAAAAAAGTAGAAATGCACTGATACTAAAATTGTGGATGAAACCGATAAACCGACAATTATTTTCAGGTTATAGCTGACAACTGATAAATACCTGGTATTACAAACCTATACTAGTTTGTTTAAAAAAAGAAAGAAAAGGAAAACACACTGAAATCTAACACATGCAAAACTCACTCCAACATGTAGAGATATATTAAGATCGATGCATCTCTACCAACATGCGCTCTTAATAAAGAAAGCACTCTTCAAGAGACTTTCCTTAAAATAGACAGAAACCATGAAATATCCAATGTCCACAAATTTTAAAATTGGCTAATTGGCAAATGTTTTAATATCCAATGATAATATGGAGCCAGTACATTGTGCATATAGGAAAAAAAAACAACCAGTACATCATTTAAAAACATTTCCCTTTTTGTAGCAATAATAATAACAACATTTTCATTTTGGATGAACTATCCCTTTAAGGGGAAGTAGGCACTATATTTTAGTATAGAGTAACTAAATATAGAATAGCAGCATCAGTAGCAATCAAAAAAAAATAAAAAATACTATTTATAAACAAGGAAAATCATGGGCAAAAAATCTGATACAAAAATTAAATGCTTACTAACTGGTCAAAATAGCCTAAATTCTTTCATGATTTGTAATAAGTTAAGAAGTGGTTTGGTAATAAAAAAACAATGTGAAGGGAGGATTGAGACGCAGTCAGCTGTAGCGTCATCACTAGCTATGGCTTGTCCATTATAAAACAGACCTGTAAATCTTTGAGTTGGTGGAGCGAGTATGACCAGGTTCTTGTTTATAGTGTCATCCATAATGATTAACACAAGAAAAATGTGAATAAACATAGTAAACCATATATAAATTGCTCTGTTTCTGAATAACTGTCCCTATACCTACAATAACATGTACATAAACAAGAAAAAGCAATGTTTGACATTGAACCGTCTACATAGACAAATTTTGGGCATCATATGCATGTTCAGAACACTGTCTAGGTAGACAGGTTTTTAGGTTTGAGACAAAACCAATACTTGATTTCTACATCAGACTACAGCAGTATTAAGTTATAAATATATTCTGTATAGATGTTCAGGTGCGTATAATGCATGTAAAACTGCTCTCATGTCTCACGTCACAGTAGAGATAAGGCTCACTGTGTGAGACTGGTTGAGTAATAGTTATTTTATTTATCACATGTGCAGCTTGGTATCTGATTTAACTCATTTTTTGAGAACAGTCAATATTTAATTTCCTCAAACATGATCTTGTCATGTGGATGTGAAGTGTGGAATCCAAGCTGAGTGAGCATTAGTTTATTTACAAAATGACAGAGGGAAAATAAGTTTACGGGGAAAAACTGCTTTCATTGAATTGTCACTGATACATTGCAATGGCAATCCATTTTAGCACTTACTCCTTAATACAAACTAGCATCTATTTGTGATACTAGCACTTAAAAAATAATAAGTGTAATAAAAATAACTGCACTTATTCCAATAGTAACTAGTATCCAATAAATTAGTAAAATGTATGTTCTCCTTTGCTAATAGTCCCTATTCTCTTGTCACTGGTGAACACCCATGTAAATACCACGAATGGTAATCATTCAGTACCATGGCATGTAGAATGCTGTATCAAATTACATGGTATTACCATCTGATACCACCACAGTTATTTTTGTGAACAGAATAAACTCATGGACCTAGACGAACATAAAAAAAGATGATATATTTTAATTTAATTTTGAATGACACATCACTCATATTGCACTTTCAAGCAAAATTAGTACTGAGAAGTATATTAGGTTTATTTGGTTTTTAATTTTAATGCTACTACCAGGTTCTTGTTTATAGTGTCATCCATAATGATTAACACAAGAAAAATGTGAATAAACATAGTAAACCATATATAAATTGCTCTGTTTCTGAATAACTGTCCCTATACCTACAATAACATGTACATAAACAAGAAAAAGCAATGTTTGACATTGAACCGTCTACATAGACAAATTTTGGGCATCATATGCATGTTCAGAACACTGTCTAGGTAGACAGGTTTTTAGGTTTGAGACAAAACCAATACTTGATTTCTACATCAGACTACAGCAGTATTAAGTTATAAATATATTCTGTATAGATGTTCAGGTGCGTATAATGCATGTAAAACTGCTCTCATGTCTCACGTCACAGTAGAGATAAGGCTCACTGTGTGAGACTGGTTGAGTAATAGTTATTTTATTTATCACATGTGCAGCTTGGTATCTGATTTAACTCATTTTTTGAGAACAGTCAATATTTAATTTCCTCAAACATGATCTTGTCATGTGGATGTGAAGTGTGGAATCCAAGCTGAGTGAGCATTAGTTTATTTACAAAATGACAGAGGGAAAATAAGTTTACGGGGAAAAACTGCTTTCATTGAATTGTCACTGATACATTGCAATGGCAATCCATTTTAGCACTTACTCCTTAATACAAACTAGCATCTATTTGTGATACTAGCACTTAAAAAATAATAAGTGTAATAAAAATAACTGCACTTATTCCAATAGTAACTAGTATCCAATAAATTAGTAAAATGTATGTTCTCCTTTGCTAATAGTCCCTATTCTCTTGTCACTGGTGAACAAATTGCAAGTTTTTCCATTGAATTCTATAGGGATCTGTGGTTCTGATATCAGTTATTCACTTCCAACTATCACCTATTTCAGTTTAACTAGTAACTATGCATTATTTATTAAGACATTTTCTTTCGTTACTTGTAACTACTCATAGTAGCCATTCCTGTTTTTCTAGTACAATTTGAACAGGCACAAGTACCTGTTTATTAAACACTAGTGCGATTTCCAAGTGGTACTACTAGCATCTTACTAATATGATTTAAAACTGAACTACAAAATAACCACGCTAGTTATTAAATATGACAACACACGTAATTATAGCCACTGAGATAAGAAATGTTACTAATAACAACTGGGATACATACTAGTGTCTCAGTCTCATACTGGCATAGTTAGTAATAAGTTAGTAAAAGTGCCAGTACCCAATGAACTGCTAGTAAAACTGTAAAAGGGACCAGCAAGAACTACTACATGCTAATGTACTAGACTAATCTAACAGACATGAACACTTGACATCTGAACCACATATCCCAATAGATTTCGATGGAAAAACAGTAATTTGTTATCAGCAACCCTGTAATAAGTAATTGTTAATTAGGGTAGTGAATAGTAGCAAAGGCATACGTGCTAGTATGTAATGAATAAGTATTAGTTTGAATTAACCTGATACTAGTCTCTATTGAATTAATAATTAGTAATTAGAAAATAATAATAAGTAATAATAAGTAATAGTGACATCAAACAGATAGTTTAGTTAAAAGAATAACTTTTAAACGGCTTGCCATAGATTGGTCAAACTGACTGGACAAACACACGGGTTGCTTTTGTAACGTTTATATCAGAACTCATATTAGACATTATTTTTACAACATAGTAAACACCTGACAACATGAGATAAGAGAGCACCTGTCAAAACACACAATCTCTCCCTAACAGCACGGACACATTGTGTCCTCAGGACTAAAAGCAATGGTCGACTGAACTTAACGTTACAAGGTTGGGTAAGGTGTTGAGTGCGTCTTACTTAAATCTATTCCTAACACGAAGACTAGTCTGTTCTGTCATTGAACACTAATTAAAGTAATTGGCCCGCTGGCTACGCACCTTGCTCTTCACCTCCACGGCGTTCAGAGTTCGGTTGCTCGGCACTCGGTGGTTTTTGTTCATCTTTCGCTGACTGGACCCCGCCGCAGAAACACACTTGCCCTCCCGCGGGCTGCGCTCATCTGCCTTGAGCTCGGTCCGTCCAAAACGGCTTTTCTCGGCTTAATCCAGTTAAAGGCACGTATCTCGCGACAGCTCCGTGTCTTCGCTTGTGTTGTTGTCGGAATCGAGTAGACGCCTGTCAACTGAACGTGCTCCGAAACTCTGCCCCAACCCTGCCTCTCACATGCACTCGCGCACTCGCTCTGCCACATAGTACTGGACGGCCCGTCTGTGACGCTGCATGCACCCAGGAAACAGCTCCGCGTGTAGAGCCGACATCAAGCGCCCCCTCCGGCCACAAAGGCCATTCTTCTACCACGGACGACTGACTCATTGCCCAGCCCAGTCCAAACACTAACAAAAACGTATTTTATTCTTTGAAGCACCTTGCTTGGATTTCCATGTAAATACCACGAATGGTAATCATTCAGTACCATGGCATGTAGAATGCTGTATCAAATTACATGGTATTACCATCTGATACCACCACAGTTATTTTTGTGAACAGAATAAACTCATGGACCTAGACGAACATAAAAAAAGACGATATATTTTAATTTAATTTTTAATGACACATCACTCATATTGCACTTTCAAGCAAAATTAGTACTGAGAAGTATATTAGGTTTATTTGGTTTTTCATTTTAAGGCTACTACAGACTACATACAACAAGTTTACACTGTAATATATAATAATTTGACTGTATTTGAAATATACAGTCAAAAGTCGTTTTGAATTTGTGATTACTATGAAAAGAAATTCATAGTAAAAACAAAAAAGTCTGAAACAGTCATGTTTCAGGCATTACACGCAGGTGTTTTGGCACCTGTATATTTTACTGTTCCATGCATTTTATTACCTAATATAATATTAATACACTAATCTACTTGCAGTACCAAAAATCACTTTGCATGTTAAAATATACTCATAAGCAACGTAGTACTCAAGACAGTAGAACAGAAGAACTTATAGGATGAATTATATTTCATCAGAAAGACCATGAGCAATGTCTAATATACATGTATAAACGTAGACGGAGTACAACACCCACACCAACGCAAAACACCATCAGAGTACATAACTGTGCAAAAGTAATAAGGAACATAAATTTAACCAAAATGTGATGTGTCACAAAGGGACTTCTGAGAGTGACCATTTACTTTTTTCACCATAGAATATTACTTGCAACAAATATTTTTAACCATATTTTTAACAATATAGGACATGTATTTTATTGTTAAATATATTTGTTATAAATGTATATTTTCACCCTAAATTATTATAATTTGTTTATTTTATAGAGGAATTCAGTTTATTATATTTAATAATTTATATTTAATTAAATAAATTAAATATATTTTCATTTTATATGGTAAATCACAATTAACCATTATGTGTTTAGGTTTTCACTGTAGCAATCTTTTTCCATTTAAACTCCTTGTAGATAACTTTTCCTTTTAAATATAGGTTTAAAAACCTATGTCAGAAAGGCCTGTTGATAATATTTGCCAGTTTTTATTGGTAAAGCTGTAGTCTATACTCTTTCCGGCAAAATTTGTCCACAAAAGCACTGGTTTATAATTTTAAGCTTTTGCACATTTATCTTTGCATAAAGTATTATATCTTTCTTTGTAGGCTACTCTATTTTGAATTGAGAGTAGGCATGTCGTTAATTAGTCATGATTGTACCAGGTCATATTGAAACCGCATCAAAGCACATGTTAATGCAAACTTTTTCACCTCGAATTGCACCAAAGAGCGACATCTGGACAAAGAGTACAACAGTACAGAGTACAAATGTAAGCTTTACATGCCGCACCTTTAGAGGGCGATGGAAGACCTTCAATGTGAGGTATTTGCTGTGGAAGAAGAGAGTCTGGCAGCGACAACGAGCACTGAAGTAGGTACACGAGTTCACAAATGTGTGATATTATAAATTGTGAGGTGTCATTACAAATGTTTTCTATTTTAAAAACGCATGCAATCTGAAGCTATAGATGCGCTAGGTTTAAAAAGAAGACTTTGATTAACGGAGCTAACAGGTCCCTTGATAGCCACCACCCATGTAGTCTGCATTTAATAGCTTTCGTTGTTTATGTTTAGGTCTTTTAAAACGCATCGTCATGACAACAGTCCAAGTGCCTGGTATTCCACGTGAGACGTCGTGGATCTCCGCGTGTCCCGGTGGTCTGTGGGAGGTTCGCCGGCGGTGGCTTGGAGAAAGACAACGAGGGGACTTCACGCCGATGATGGGCTCACTATGTAAGGTCAAGGTGCGGCGAAGTACTGTTACGGAGGGAGAAACACAACATACTGCTTCTCAAAATCAGGAATCAACAGCCAGCGTTGATTCTAGCGAGCAAGCTACCTCATACCCCCGCTCGCAGGACTCGGCACTGCAGGTTCCACTGGATGAGTGGTGCTTGTTGCGCATGGGCGAAGGGCAGTGTGACATTACAGAGGGCTGCCTGGAAGGGATGAGGGCTGGAGAGATGTGTGAGGTAAGGGCAAAGCTTTGTAAGCTTTGTAAAGAAAGGCATAGAGGAGAAACAATAATGTACAGTATGTGGGAAATAATGTGTTTTTTGAACCTTAAACCGCATAAACATTTCATTACACCAAATACACAAAATAATGTTCTTTTTAGCAGCATCATATGACCCCTTTAAATCAAATATAATTTCACCCTAAATTATTATATTATTTTCTAAATAAAATAATTATATATATATATATATATATATA